TGTGATACAACCGTATCGACACTTACATGTGGTATAGCTATGAATGTAGATATTTACTCCACAGCCATTTCCTCACCCATATCTACCCTCTGATCACAATTACGAAACATTTATTTCACATGTCCACAAGCGTTTTAGTATTCGGATAAGATTTTCGTAGAGGGTTATATGAAGCATAGGGAGTATTTTGTGTTCGTATTTATGAAACTTATAAAAATGAAAAATTATGCTTATGACGTGCAAGGGTTTCTATATGCAACATTCATTCCGTAAACAATTACTTTTTCGTTCGTTCCGTTAAAGGTTATCCAGAAGGAGCGTCCAGGAAAAAATTGAATTGTTTGAATCCCTTCCTCTATCTCCTCTCTATTCAGATTTATTCAGTTGCGCCGTCTCCCTTCTGGATGACCATCATAAAAAAGCTGTTAGCGCAATCTCTGTTGGATTAAAATGTGAAACACGATGTACTTGCTTTTATTAATCACAACAAAAGCATTTTATTGTGTCTATTTTGGGACACATATCTTCATCATTCTTGCATTTATTTCTTCAGAAGCGCAAAAAGAAATTAGTTTATAAACTATAACCAAACGTTATTGATATAAAGACTTTGGTCGAACTCAAGCCCTCTACGAAATAACTATCTGTTCGTGTAGGATAACTTTCAATTATTTCAACGCCATATTCATATTCACCTCGCAGATTCAGTTCAGTTTTGAATTTAAAAATGTTCTTCAAGACCAGCTGAGCTCCTAAAATTCGCCGAAAGTTATGTGAAAAAAAAGGAAAATATTCAGTAAGGATTTGGACGTCCAAAAAATGTTTGATACCACACTCTTCACAGTTTGCCAGCTTTAATGTAACAGCTTCTCGCCCTCTCACACCTCTTTACTTAGATATCCTCTATGGATAATCCCCTAAAACAACTCTTTTCGTTTCTACTAGTTTTCTTTTTTTTGCTTCTTGAGAGCGTAAATCAAGCAAGAAAAGCAACAACATATCCTCAAGAAAGAAACAACTCGAATTGCACTGACTTACTAAATCGCATGCAGTATTCATTTGCCGTTTTTTTTGCATCGGTTGTGACTGCGTAAACATGTGTGATTATTGAAGTTTGCTATAATATGGGTGTACGGAAATCAATTGGAAACAGATCGGTCTATCTCTTGACGAAGAAGACAAGCTCAATCTGATAGTCTCAACTTTTGCTCTTTAGCAATCGCTGAAGTCGAAAATTAAATAGAATAATATATGAATGTGCTTTGATTAAAATAATTCAAGAAATACAGGGTTAAGAGTGTGGAGTGTGAATGTGGGTTCTCTCTTCAAACACATCCATAGCCTAATTGGACCATACGATGTTAAATAAAACTAATGATTAGTAAGAAATTCAGGACAAAAAAATTAATTCAAGCTAATTGTGTGAATTTTATTATGTAAAAAAAGGAACAAATCTAATCATATATTCTAAATTCATTTTTGAAAAAACATTGTTCTATATATAATCCTTTTTTTATGATTAATAATCATAAAAGTTTGTCAAAATAAGTATTCCATTGTTCCGATGTCCATTAACAAATACAGTTGGTGATAATTACATGAATACCATGTTTTCTAGCATACTTAATATTATATTTAAGATCAACTGTTATTGCATTCCCTGCATGAGATTCTGTTCGTTTCATATGAAATAAATTATCATCAAGTTAACGTTGCGCTTCGTCATTGTAACATGGATCAAAATTTTATAAATTTCTACTTGAGATCTTTTTTTTCAGCAAACTCATCAAATAATTCTTGTTGTTGTTTAAATAAAAGTGTTGTAGCATCACAAACTTGAGATGGCTGCTCACGAGCAACAGTCATAACTACTGAATGAACAAGACTAAATTGAGCACGTCGTGCTTGAATTTGGTTACGAAAAATAAATTGAATACAATGTTTATATTTATTTGGAAGATCATGTTATACGACAATTGTTTGCCATAGACGAGCACTGTATAGACATATAAGATCAAGAAACAAATCAATTACATGTCGAGTTTGTTCACATAAAGATGAAAGTAATGAATATGCAGCCTATTTTTGTAAAAGTGTCATTTACTGCGTTCGTCTCAATATCAGCGTTCGACATGTCTTACTAGGTGATAAACAAGACAAAATGATGTCAAGAAAGAAAAACTGATTGTTTTCTTTCTGCAAGCATGTCTCGTATGTTTATCTTTTCATAAAATGAAATCAATAAATAGTCAATTCAATCATAACTCTTTCAAAACTATTAGAAAATATTGAAAAGATTCAAAGACTTTTTCATGACACAAATGAAATCATAATCCAACGGGATGATTATCAGTAGGTATTTACTAATTTTATATATCTTACAAAAAAAAATATAACTTTAATACAAAACGAAGGTTAGTCATTATGAAAGCAATTATTTAATTAAAAATTTTTATCATAAAATATAATCTTTTATTTAAAAAAAACAGAAATTCTTGTTGTTCAAATTTCGATATTTCATATAAATTATTTCTTTTGAAAGATTGTAAAAATAGATAATGAAGTACCATTGAATCTATTATAATAAATAATTCCATCGAAAAAGACAAATTTATATTTAGTCAGATTGTTTAAAATTCGATCTACTACTATGTCAAAATAGAATATGATCAAGTACTGTTGCATCGATAATTATTGCTAATATAAAATAGAGATTAGAGTTTGAAAATGAATTGTCTTAGAAATAATCTTAATTAAATTAGAAAAATATTTATTATTCAAGAAAAATAATGAAAAGACTATGAAAAACATATTAAAAGTAAAAAGAATAAAAATAATCGTCGGTCATATATATAAACAAATACAAAACATTATCACCTATCATTCGGCATGTGTTAACAATTCAATATAAAAAATATAGAAAGCATTTGAATCATATAACTTCTATCTTTTCTTGTTAGTCACCATTTAATGTTGACTTATGGTTATTTTTAATTGAAACAAGTCCATGAACAAGACAAGTGAAAATATACGAAAGTAGAGTAATACAAAATCGAATTTATAGTAAATATACTAATACTATTTTATTATTTAATAAATGATTAATGAAACATGTAGGAGACAAGTCTAATTAATTGTAATAAAACTTAAATGAATGACTTGTTATATGTAACACTCAAATATTTACCGAATAAATTGTTCATTTGTAGTGATTACTACTATGGAGTGATCTATAAAAAATGAAGTTTATCATTATTTACAAAAGAAATATTTATACACGAAAGATCAAAAAGTTCTTTATTCTTGTACAAAAATATTTGTATGACTTTAACGCTTAATGATCAGATGGTTGGGATTGTTAGCGTGTAATTTATAGTTTTGTTTATGTGATGCTCTCGATATATCTGTGCTATATCATAATCCATATAGGTCTAATCTTTACGATGACAGTTGATAGGATATTAAGAAATAGAACTAATGAAAAAGTTAATATACATGATAGGATAATATTCGTGTTACTCTGAAAATGACAGATGCTAATCTGTTTTAGTCATAAATTAATTTGAGAATAATAGACTCCCTTTACATGTTCATCAATAAATATTTCTTCAGTGTACTCTACCATTGTCAACTAGTTGATCAACAAAAATGTCAGCAGAGTGAAAATAGAATTATAAAACTTTATCTTTTTTTAAAATTCTCCTTGTTAATATTAATACAATCTAGTGGAAATTTTTATCTTGAGGGATTGAAGAATAATTATGTCATTGATGTTGATGTTGACTATTGCCTTTTACGATGCTTAGGATTAGAAATATAAGTCATCGTTTGATTAGACTCATTTTTCAAACAGCTCTCATTACTTGACATATTATGAGCACGTAAAATTTTGTTGAATATAGTGTTTACAAATAGATTATACTCTGAATTTCCCAATATAAATTTTGTGCTATTGATATCTCTATTAACTTTTACTTGTCACATAATCATTCGACTGAATTTGCATTTCCAATACGTATTCTTATCATAGATTTTGTCATTGTACAGTTGTTTCCATCCAATATCAATAGTGTTTTGTTCTCCACATTGTAACAAGCTTGATAGTAGACATATTGGTAAGAAAATCAATGATGAGTTTTTGGTATCGTGACATTCTGTATATACGAATATATGGGATCAATCAGTCTTACTAGATACTCTATTTCTTTATTTTTAAAATGCTACTTCTATCATATATCAGCATTATATGATTCGTTTACTACTTAACGAGAGTTAATCATGTATTACTGATGCTTTGCTATTATTTAGAATAGATATCTTGTTCGAAACCAAAATATTAAGAAATCTTCATCAAATGTTTTACTGAGAGATATGCTTTTTTATTAAATTTATTCATTCATTGTAATTCATACTTGCTATTTGAAAGATACTATGAAAACATGCTTAATTATTTTGATTTTGAATAAGATTTATAAGCATAGTACTGACGAGATTATATCGCTTTTCAATTTTTGACTCTTGTTTTTTAACCATATCTATATGTTACTTTTCATCATTTCTCACGTTTTTTTGTTTTATAAAATTCTTGCAACTGTGACGATAGAATGATATATTTTGAGTATATGTCATTTGAGTATATGGCATATATTAATCAAAACTTCTCAAGATTATGGCATGGCTTATACTTGACACCCAACTAATTATGATTCTTTAAAATTAAATTACTTTTTATCATAATAAACATCATACGTAGGTTCGGATTTTAATGTCAGAGAATAGTTCATAAAATTTTCAACTTTAGCATGTGAGGCAGATGTGCATGAAGACAAAACCCAATTTTATTGTAGACTATTTAAATATACAAAGAAAGATAAATAGATGAGAAAGAAATGACGAGATAATACACAAAGTAAAATGGCAATACAATAAATTGTGTGTTTAACATCTACGTTAGTTCTACCTCTAGATGATTGTTGTAGTTATTTAAAGAATTACTCGAATTATTCTTTATTGTTCACAGTCGCATTTGATACAAAACGTCGTAATACTTTCTTTTGAATTAATCGCTTGAATTCACGTCGGAAAAATGGTGACGATAAAGTATATACAAAAAATGTTAAAGAAAATTCCAGATGAATAAACATATAACTCATATTATTGATAAATGTTTCAACTGTTACACGGAAAGATGATTTCGATTTATTGATGGCTATTGTTTGATAAAGAAGGTCACAAGGATTAAGAAAGTTCAAAAAAAGCCAAAGCAATATTTGATTAAATAACATTTTCACATATTGTAAATCTTTTCGTGACATTCTAGTAAATTCTACAGGTTGAACAACACCAGCTACTGCTAATGGTCTTATTCTTTGTTTGCTTTGTCGAATATTTTTGATTGTGAGATATCCAAAAATAAGCGTCATCAATGGTGGTAATATGCCACTCTCAATCAATAGATAGATACTGAAGAAAATCCCATAAACGCCACGTCTATACAAGCAGATATCATCTTGAATTTCATAAAAGACAAGAATTTGAGTATACATTAAACACCAAAATATAAAACTGCCAATAATTAATCGCATAGCGATCTTTGATGAACTCCATCGACGCCAAAATATACTAGAACAACTGGCAAAATAACGGTCAACCGATGCCAAAATTATACAATAACGTGGAATAGCAACAAACAGATAGAAAAAATAATAGCGAATTTTACAATACCAAAGTATAACATTGATTGCATTAATATTGAAACCAATGTAAAGAATTCTTGTGACAAGAACGAAATTGAACGTTATGAATTGTGAAGCACTAGAGGCTAAAAAATACATAACGCATGGATTCTTGCGAAGATGTCGTTGACAAAAGATAAAACAATTGACGGTTGATCCAAAATTTCCCATAAGCCAAATAAGACCCATACCATACCTTGAAATATTCTTATTAAGAAGAAAAACAAAATTACACCAATAAATCTCGTAATCATCAGTACCACAATCAGTGCTGTTTGACATTTGTAATGAATATGTTTATAAAATTTCAGTAAACATCAAATATTAAATGACTTTTTCCAAAGGATTTTTTGAGTTATAATTACTTTGATAATGTGATCTTGTAATAACATTTTTTTTTTATAGAAGGAAAAATAAACTGCATAGGAATGACGTCAATTTACTTCAGAAAAAATAGGTAATGTAATGAAGCATTCAAGACGGGAAAGACGAATCTTGCAGTTGACTTTGGGCTATCGCCAGGAATCCAACAGAAGCATGGTTTTTGACAATGACTAAATACCTAGATTAAATCATAAATTCACTAATTAATCATGTTTGCAAAGTTGTATTTTCGGCAATGAATAATTCACTTTTTGTAAGAAAGACAGTCATTAGCAAATTATTGGATTAAAGTGCAAAATCCAAGGATTCTAAATTATGACTCATTCAAATATTATATTGGATACAATGCCTGTTAATGGTATAGGTGTGAATGTAGTAGTTATGAGAGAGCTAAGATTGGTACACAAGCACTTTCAACATCCACACCCACCCTATTGTCTTGAACATAAACTAATAGATTTCTACTTAATTATTCTTTGTATATAACATACGAAAAGCAATAGAAGGCAGAAATATATTTTATGAAAAACTAGAGTCCGAATCTAACCTATTCCGACAACGTTCAACACGAACAACTCACCTGGGGGTCGGATTGCAGAATTCTGCTATATGGCAAGGGCTTCTGAGGTGTGGATGGGTGTGCGTGTGGATGGGTCTTTATGTTTTCTCAATTCACACTCCACACCCACACCCGCAGTTTTAAACTTTGATTACCAAAATATATGAATAAACATTTGATTGTTTAAAAAAAACTTTTATTAATTTCCTTTTGACTAGACGTCGAACACAATCAATGAAATGAATTCATCTTAATTGAATGAACAGATGAATAAACAAAAAACAATTATCATCATCTATTCAATACATTCTGCCAATTCGTGTCCTAAACTTTTTTCATATTTTTTAGGGATAGCTATGAAAAAGAACTACTGAGTACTCTTGTGGGAAATTTTGATATTCAATTGTAAGTAATGATTCTTCGTTGGAACACAGTTCAAATGCGTAGTTTCGTGTGCCTATAATCACAAGTGTGATCGTATTTCTAAGATAAGAATGAATGTTCTCTAAAATCTGAAACAAAATGTGCAGTCATATGCTGCTAACTCAAAATGAAACTATCAGCAGATCTTTTAGAATATAATCATCCACCATCAATTATTGTTCTTAAAGATCTATTTCTCTAATTACACGTATCATAAAATAATGTTCTACGTAGTTTGATACTAATTTATTGTAAAAACGAAAGTGAGTAGGATTAAACGAAAGTATATTCAGAATTAATGAATGTTCTACCAGATAAATCACTTTATTTCCTACAACTTTCAATGTATTTCAATGACGCGATAAAAGAACTCTACATTAAAGTCGCCCATGACGTAATTTTATTAATTTTTAAATGATTACGGATATATGCATGCCCTTATCTTTCTGATCTAATTATAGAAAGAAAGAAGGAAAATGAGCCGAAAATATTCTTAACTTCAAGTAAGAAAATAGTTCTATCATCTATTATATAATCCTATTTGTCATTTGACTATGATTAAGGCACTTATGTCAAACAATAAAGAATTAAATAAAAACCAAAAAGTGCATACACTCAATGGATAACAACACTTTTGTTTGACCTTCATTCTATTTAAATACATTAGCTTTGAGTACTACATTGTAATCGATGTTTCAATAATTTTCTTGTTAAAATTCAATCTTTTTCTTTCTGTCTAAAATGATTCTCAATGAAAAACAGAAAAATTTTCGTTAGTGTTAGTTTCTTTTTTTAGTAGGATTCTTTCGTTTCTACGAGCGAATTAATGAACATTATGAATTATACTCAATTAACTCATTATAAATCGAATTAATCACAAAAAATTCAAAGTAATTTCACATTTCAAACTACAGTCAAAATTGTTATACCATTTCATTCTAATGTGCTAAATATTAATACTACACTTTTCTAGACTAATTAATTTCTTTCGAAATATGTTAGGGAAATCAAGTTCTACTCATTTTCCAAAGCGCGTTTTTTTTTTTGTATGTTTACTGTATAAAGTTTGCTCTACAAACAAATTTATTATAAAAATCGACTAAGTACTTATGTAAACCACATATTGCTGAATAAAACTTAATTTGTTTAGATATCTAGATTGATAAAAACAACGCACCAGAAGTGTAAGGGAGTATTATTATTGAGCTGCTTACCCTAGTTTTTTTAAGACAAAAAGAGAAAAATCTCTAACGAGTCTTTCGATCTTATTCGATGGCAACTCATAATTACTATGTATGAATGTTAATAATTAATAAACGGTGGTATTCATATCATCTATGCAGATATAGATGTGATTGTTAGTTTATATGCGTTGTTATTTGATATACGACTCGAAATTCGAGAAGCGCTGCAAATGATACTCTGTACACTTGTTTTTGTCCATACATAACACAAAATGATAGATTTAATAGAATGACTGTGTTGTTAGTGATCAGAATGAAGTTTTATATCACATGATTTCCTCAAAAATTTATTTATTTCGAGATGATGACTACAATGTAATATCGAAGCATCAAATTGATTTATAGTAAAAATGCTTTGGGTGCAATTCCTATGCTATTCAAATATGAAATACGATTTAGTCATTTGAATTATGATGAAAAAACTGAACTATTTTAGTCACATTTTTCCATATTGAAGACTGACATTCTGAAAGCTCTTCGAAATTATTACAGATTGTGAGAGGCACATGAACGCATTTTTCAAACTATGCGAAATGATTTGTGAAAATGACGTTCTAGATGAATACTTCAACACTCATTACGAATCGTGTTTCACAATAATCAACATGTCTGATCACAGGACAATAAACCGTATCGAAAAGCTGGAAAAATTCAGTCGATTTAATTGATTTTTATTAGCACGTTTTGCTCAAAAGATCTATAAGTGATGTCTTGCAACGCTACTTACCAATATAACAAAAGACTAAAGATAAAAATTGATATTGTCATGCGATGTCACTAAATTTGTAAGACACGAATTTCATGTCAGATAGCATCAGCAATAAGATGGTAATATCGAAATGTACGTCTCCTTCGAATGTTCTGAATAAAAACTTTGAGATATCAAAACAGAGAGATGGATAAATGAGAAACATTAGATGATGAGTGCCATGTGAATAAAGGTATGTCGTTTAATAGCACATGTGGTATCTTAACATTGAATATGAAACAAGCATGGTTTATGTAAAATAGGTAAAACTAAAATATCCAAGAATGCAGCTCAGCAAGATCAAAAGACTATATCAGACACTTTTTAAGTATGAATATAAAGAGTGCTGCATGAAGAATAGGTCTTTCTGTATCGTAACGATATATCTTAGGATATTCGACGGTTCAGACTTATCTTTCCGAACAAATTCATCCTTTAATCATCTGTTAAATAGTTTATTTTTCACATATTCAAATAACATGTATGATCCTTCAAGATATATTTCGAATGAAAGGTTAACGATGAAAACTTCTAAAAAGAAGTTTTAGTCGAATTCTTCCACTGCATATTTCAGTTGTTTAATGAGAATTTCTTTTGAGATTATCGTGCTTTCATAGGATGAACGGCGTAAAAAATCTTTTCATAGTTTAATAGGTTCAACATTTATAACTGAACCATTTCATGATGAATTTTCTTTGTTGATGATAGATGAACAATTATTTTGGCATTGTTATTATATTAGCTAATATATATGAAGTTGTGCACTATCCTGCTGTAATATCCAATCTGACACTGTCAGTCATTTTTGACCAAGAGAGCAACCTTCACAAATCCAAATTGTTCTTCTAGCCACATTCAAAATATTCAAATTGAGATCCTCTCAACGAACTTAATATTTCAAAAGGACAATGCACAACTTCATATTCATCAATTAACACAATTATGATTCTACCAGGATTGTTCTTCAATTATTAACAAAAAATATTGATTACCAAACAGTTCATAATTAAATGTTGAGTTGTTTACTTTTAAAATTGTTTGCTATATTCATTGTTTGACGACAAGATAATATCAAATGACGCTCTTAGTAAACAACTGAAATATCCATTCGGAGAACTCGACAACAACTTGGTTTTAGAAGTTTTTATATTCGACTATTCATTTGAAATACATCTTGAACAGTCATATATTTTATTTACATATGTAAAAAATGAACTATGTGCTTGAAAATTAAAAGATGAATTTGCTTCAGGATGATGTGGGTGGGCATGGGCGTGACTAAAGAGAATAACTATACTCACACTACCCGACGGGGTGTGGGTATGGGTGTGGGAGGGTGGGGTGTGTGGGTGCGGGTGTGTCGGAAGATCACTAGATCACCTCCACATACACCCACGCCCCACACACAGACCCCACACCCACACCCCACACCCACACCCATGCTTCCATCCTGTAGGTATGCACTTTAATCTTGACTTCAGAAGGAATGAAATAAATTAAACATGTACTGTAGGTGAATATATAAAGAATGAAAACCATAACAGAAACGTATTAAAGATTAAGGAGAGTAGAGAATAACACCAGATAGTGGATATGTATACTTGTGATATCACTGTAACACGTATTTATGAGAGAAGAACAACTCATGATAGTTAAAAGGGACATGGATAGTCGATTATAATGACTGATCATCGATAATAGCTAATTACTAGAAAGAATCATATATTTCTGTTCTCATAGTATTAAAGAATATTAAATAATAATAGATGCCAACAGATGCGACTTTCACATTTTTATCACACGGGATAAACTAGATAAAGCAGCGCTGCAAGTGAGTCGTTGTAGGTAATAGTCGATTTTACTAGTATGAGTCGAAAAATAACGGTCTTTTAATCCATCATGGAAGTATTGATTGTCTCGCAGT